CATAGTGCCTAAGGCACTTGACTGCTAACCAGAAGGCTGGTGGTTCAAATCCACCAGCCACTCCTTGGAAGGAAGGTTGGGCAATCTACTTCTGTAGGGATACTGCCTTGGGAACCCAAGGAGGGGTCGCTATGAGTCGGGTCCGACTTGCCAGCACAAAACAACAACAACAAAGCAAACCCTATTAATCCATCTTGACATTAATTTACAAATAAAAAACAAACAAGTAAGAATCAAAAGCCCAAGACAGAGATGGAACTGGGCAGGTGAAGAAACCAGAAGGATGTTACAGAAAACAGAAGACACTTTAGAAATTAAAATGTGACAGCCAAATTAAAGAATTTAAAGAGCAAACTGAATCAAAATGGAAACCGGCAAGATTTTTCTGTACTCCTTTAACCTAAAATTTCACAAATAACAAAACTAAAAAAATAAGTGTACTACTACAAACCAGTATTTCCTGCCCCACTAACTCCTTGCCCTCTAAGGTTCATATCTAATCTCTCAAGGTAACTGCTGTCAATTTGATCCTATACAGATAGTTCTTAAAAGAGTCTAATACTCAAGGCAAACTTTTTTTTACTAGTTAAACCAAACTGTTGTTTGAATTTAAGAAGACTTCAAGGGATATATTTCATTTCAGCAGCAAGTCTAGAGTTCATGTGCAGGAGCTCTGGTAGCATAGTGCCTAAAGGCACTTGACTGCTAACCAGGAGGCTGGCGGTTCAAACCCACCAGCCATTCCTCGGAAGGAAAGTTGGGCAATCCTACTTCTGTAGTGATAACTGCCTCGGAAACCCAAGGAAGGGTCGCTAGGAGTCGGGGCCGACTCGATGGCAAATAACAACAACAACAAAGTTCATGTGAATTTGAAATTCTGTTCTGCACTATCTTCCTTTTGATCAGGATTCTTCTATGGAATCTTTGATCAAAATGTTCAGTAATGGTATCTAGGCACCATCCAGTTCTTCTGGTCTCATGGCAAAGGAGGCAGTTATTCAAGAAGGCAATTAGTCACACATTCCACATCCTCCTCCTATTCCTGACTCTCTTTCCCGTGGTTCAGGCTGAGAGAGACCAACTGTGCCTTAGACAGCTGCTTGTAAGCTTTTAAGACTCCAGGTACTACTTACCCAATGAACTAGGAGGTAGAACAGAAGCACTAAACATATTATTAGGCCAGTTAAATGGGAAGTCTCATGAAACCATGACCCTAAAGCTTGAAACCAAATCCCATGAGGTGTGTATTAGCTGCAGCCTCAATAGCTACTCTTTTTTGTTGTTTTTAATTGCTGTAAATATGTCTATCATGCAACTTTTGCCAATCTGTTTTTTACAGGAGTACAACTTGAGAGTACTTACAAGAGTCAGTTGTGCAACCTTATCCTTAATCAATGCAGATTTCCCAATACCAAATACAAACTTAGTAGTCCATAAACAATAACCCCTTCTCCACTCACCCCCACCTCTGATAACCACTAATACATTCTGGTATCTATACATTTGTCTTTTCATATAAGTGAGGGTACACAGTATTTGACCTTTGGTGACACATTTGTTTGTGACTCAGCCTCAGCATAGTATCTACAATCTCCATCCATATTATACCATTTATCAAGACTTCATTTCTCCTGCTGGCTGAATAATAGTTCATAATATGTATGCATCAGATTTTTTTTAAAATCAATTCATCTGTTGATGGATATTTGGGTTGTTTCTACCTTTTGGCAACTATAAATAGTGCTTCAAGGAACACTGTATAAAAATCTCAGTTTGAGTATCTGCTTTAAAGTCTTCGGGGTACCATATAAGTAGGAGTGGAATTGTGGGGCCATATGTTAATTCTAGGAGGCCTGGTGATACAATGGTTAAGCCCTTGGTTGCTTACCAAAAGGTCAGCGGTATTAACCCACCAGCCATTCTGCAGGAAAAGATGTCACAGTCTTCCCTCAAAATTCACCACAATAAAGTAGGTCTCATACAGATTTGCTGTTTGACAAATTCAACAGCACATCTGCATTAGAGCAACTTGATATGGGTTTTAAAAAAACCTGAAATTGAAAATTTAACAGTGGCTTCAGATCGGTAGTACCCAAGGCACTTAGATTATATAAACTCAAATCCTCTTTGAAGAAACACATCTTCACCTCTTCAATGGATCCTTAAGAATTGCTACAGATACAGTTCTAACAAACATTAATTCAATTAAAACAAACAAATCAAAATAACCTATAAACCACAAAATACAAGTAAATAAGGTACCATGAGGCAGCAGAAATGACAGTAAACTCAGTTATAAAGATTTCAGAAATTAACATTAAAAGAATATAAAATAACTTTAATCAAAAAACCACTTCCTAATATAAAGATACACAGAATGATTTTAAGAATTCAGTAAAACTAGTTTCCCCTTCCATTTACCACACACAAAACTAAGAGAAGCAAATGTGCTTTCCATTTTGCTTTAATTTCTAAGTTTAGTGTTTAGTTCAAAATATACTTAAGATATAACTGGAAAATTATTTTTCCACTGCTTTAACAACTTTTATTGTTTTAATGTTTTAAATTATTTAAAATGATTTTTATAACTTACTTTCAAGAGGCTGACAGACTTACTAGGCTGATACAGAGTAGTGGAACTCCAGAGATTGTGGCCCTTAGACACTTTTCAAGCCAGGAACTGAACCTAGCCTCAGGGTTCAACTTTCAGCCAAATAATACATAGGCACCAGCCACTTCTCGGACTTCTGTAGTGATACTGCCTTAGAAACCCAAGGAGGGGTCGTTATAAGTGGGATCCGACTCGACAGCAGTGAGTTTGGTTTGTTTTTTTATTTTATAAAGTGAGTTATACCAGAGAAGAATGTACTCCTCAGTACAATCAACCACATGAGACCAAAAGGGCAGCCTACAACCAAAAATGAAGCTCAGAAAGCATGTAAGAAAGACAAATGGAAACGGGAAACCCAGGGAGGGAAGGGGAAAGAGTCCTGTTACATTGAGGGGACTGCAACCAATGTTACTCAATGTACATAAATTATTGAATGGAAAATTAATTTGCTCTGAAAAATTTCACTGAAACCACAACAAAAAAAGAAAAGTTGAATTAAAAATGTGGATACTCACTGTTCTACATTGGTCTATTTTTCCTGATAGAATCTTCAATCCTTCCAAAACTATCAACCCAGCAATTACTGCATTAGTAGTAGCGATAGCAGGAATAATGTTCCCTGCCATTGCTGGAGGAGAGAGAAAAAAAAAGTTTAGCTCTTAAAAACAAAAAACAAGAGATAATACAATTCAGATATGAAATAACTTACATTTTATATCAAATCTGCTCTTCATATTCATACTGAAAATATGCATCCTGAGGTTTGCAGCAGAGGTGACAAAATCCAATGCAGATGGGTCATCCTGCCAATAATTTAAATAATTTAACATGTCTCTCCACAAATTTACTACTTTAACGAAGTAATACTTTCAGAATACTTTCACAATGCTTATAGTGTTATAGACAGTTAACTAGAACAAGAGAAGGGCTTAAAGGAGAAGTGGGCCTTACATGGTGCATAGAGGTTTAATGAGTAAGTGTAAGGTATCATCATCAGCTTCTCTGGCCCAGAAATGTAGTTTGACTAGAGCACCAAGAGCCATCAGGCTTCCAGGAAATCACTCCTGTTTAACCAAATGCATGAGAGACCAATTCCATTCACTGAAAATGGCAACTCTCTTAAATCTCCAAAACCAAACTCAGTGTGAGTTGATATTAATAGCAACCCCCATTGGCTTTCTGAAGTGGCAAATCTTTACAAAAGTAGACTGCCCCATTTTCCTTCTATGAAGTGATGGTGGTTATGAACTAGTAACCTTCTGGTTAGCAGTCAAATGCCTTAGGCACTGCACCACTGGAGCTCCTTAACTCTTTCCTAGTCACTCAGTAATAAGGAGGTTACTTGACATAGGATCCAAGCACACAGAGATAGATTGTTTTGAGAAAGCTATTTCACTAAAGCCTCAGAAAAGCCTGGGCTATTCCACCTGAGCAGCAGAATTATGTTGCTGTGTGTCTTGGAGCTGATTACAACTCATAGCAACCCTATATGACACTTAAGAACTGCCTAATAAGGTAAGTAATAACTAAGCTGTAATCTTTACAGGAGTAGACAGCCAAGTCTTTTCTCCCTTGGAGCAGCTGGTGGGTTTCAGCAGCTGGTGGGTTTCAACCAACAATTTTTGAGTTAGCAGCTGAGTGATTAACCATTGTGCCATCAGCAGAATATGTTGTTGTTAGGTGCCACTGAATCGGTTTCAACTCATAGTGACCCTATGTACAAGGGAAAGAAACACTGCCCAGTACTGTACCACTCTCAAAATACTTGCTATGCTTGGGCCCACTGTTGCAGCCACTGTGTCAATCCAATTCATTGGGAGTCTTTCTCTTTTCACTGACCCTCTACTTTACCAAGCATAGTATTTCTCCAGAGACTGGTTTCTTCTGATAACATGACCAAAGTACGAGTGATGAAGTTTGGCCATTCTAGGTTCAAAGGAGCATTCAGGCTATCCTTCTTTCTAGACAGATTTGCTCATTCCTCTGGCAGTCCATGGTATATTCAATATTCTTTGCTAACACCATAATTCAAATGCATCAATTCTTCTGCAGTCTTCCTTATCCACTGTCAAGCTCTCACATGCAAATGATGCTACTCAAAATACCACGGCTTGGGTCAGGCACACTTTAGTTTTTAAAATGACATCTTTGCTCTGTAAAGTGTTTTTTGCAGCAGATTTGCCCAATGTGATATGTTGTTTGATTTCTTCACTTCTGCTTCCATGAGCATTTATTGTGGATCCGAGTAAAAGGAAATTCTTGACAACTTCAATCTTTTCTCAATTTATCGTGATGTTGATTATTGGCCCAATTGTGAGGATTTTTGTATTCTTTATGTAGGCTATAGACTTTGATCTTCATCAGTAAGTACTTCAAGTCTTCTTCACTTCCAGCAAGCAAGGTGTGTCATCTGCTTATTGCACGTTGCTTTAAGAAGGTTCCTCCAATCCTGAGGCAGTGTTCTTCATACAGTCCAGCTTCTTGGATTATTTATTCAACATATAGATTGAATAGGTATGGTCAAACGATACAATCCTGACGCACACTTTTCCTGATTTTAAACCATGCAATATTCCCTTGTTCTGCTCAAACAATTGCGTCTTGGTCTATGTATAGGTTCCTCATGACACAATGAAGTGTTCTGGAATTACCATTCTTCACAATCTTATCCACAATTTGTTATGATCCACACAGTTGAATGCTTTTGCACAATCAATAAAACATCTAAACATATTTCTGGTATTCTTTGCTTTCAGCCACAATCCATCTGGGACCAGCAATGATATCCCTTGTTCCACATCCTCTTTTGAATCCACTTTAAATTTCTGGAATTTCCCTGCTACTATGCTGCTGCAACCATTTTTTAATTAACTTCAGCAAATTTTTACTTGCGCATGATACTAATGATATTGTTGAGTAATCTCCACATTCTGTTGATCACTTTTCTTTGAAATGTACACAAATATTGATCCTTTCCAGTTGGTTGGCCAAGTAGCTGCCTTCCAAATTCTTGTCATAAATGAGTGTTTCTAGCATTTCATTCTTTGTTGCAACAACTCATCTATTCCTGGAGCCTTGTTTTTCACTAATTTCTTCAATGCAGCTTGGACTTCTTCCCTCAATACCATTGGTTCTTGATCATATGCTACCTCCTGAAATGGCTGAATGTCGACCAATTCTCTTTAGTACAATGACTCTGTATTCCATCTACTTTTGATGCTTCCTCCATTGTTCACTATTTTGCCCATAGAATCCTTCAATATTGCAACTTCAGACCTGAATTTCTTTTTCCCCCAGTTCTTTTAGCTTGAGAAATGCCAGGTGTGTTCTTCTCTCTTGGTTTTCTAATTCTAGGTGCTTGCACATTTCATTGTAATACTTTCTCTTCTTAAGCCACCCTTAGTAATCTGTTAGATCTCTTATTTCATCATTTCTCCCATTCAGTTTAGCTACTCTCCATTCACGACCAAGTTTTTGTCTCTTCTGAAATCGATTTTAGTTTTCTTTCTTTTCTGACGTTTTAATGACCCGTTGCCTTCTTCATGTATGGTGTCCTTGATGTCATTCCACAACTTGTTCAGTCTTTGGTCACTGGTGTTCAACGCATCAAATCTGTTCTTCAGATGGTCTCTAAGTTCAGGTGAGAAACACTCAAAGTCATATTTGGCTCTCCTGGAGTTGTTTTAATTTTCTTTAGTTTCAATTTAAACTCACATATGAGTAGCTGATGGTCTGTTCCACAATCAGCCACTGGTCTTGTTCTGACTGGTCTTGCTCCATCATCTCTTTCCACAGCTGTAGTTGATTTGATTCCTATGTATTTCATCTGGCAAAGACCACACATATAATCACCACTCATGTTGTTGAAAACAGGTATTTGGAACGAACAGGTCATTGGTCTTGCAAAATTCTATCACATGCTCTCCGGTGTGTTATTTCTTTCACCAAGGCCATATTTTCCAACTACCAACACTTCTTCTTTCTTCCAACTTTTACATGCTAATCACCAATAATTATCAATGCATCTTGATTGCATGTTTGATCAATTCCAGATTGCAGAAGTTGCTAAAAATCTTAAATTTCTTCATGTTAGACTTACTATCAGCTTGTATGTTTGAATAATCCTATTAACTGATCTTCCTTGTAGGCGTATGGATATTATTCTATCACTAACAGCACTGTTACTTCAGGAAAGATTTGAAATCAGTTCTTTTTGACAATGAACGTGATGCCATTCCTCTTCAATTTGTCTTTGTTGGCATAGAAGACCGACCATATGCCTGACCAATCCATTTCAGCTCATTAATGCCTAGGATATTGATATTTATGCGTTCTATTTCATTTTTGACAACTTCCAATTTTCCTATATTCATATTTTGTACATTCCACATTTTGATTATTAATGAATGCTTGCAGCTGTGTCTTCTCATTTTGAGTTGTACCTTACTAGCAAACGAAGGTCTCAAAAGCTTTACTCCATCCACATCATTAAGGTTGTCTGTACTTGGAGGCGCCAGCTCTTCCTCAGCTATATTTTTGAGTGTCTTTCAACCTGAGGAGCTCATCTTTCAGCACTATATCAGACAATGTTTCACTGCAATTCATGAGATTTTCAATGACTCATTTTTTTCTCTTCCTGCTTCCCAGGCTGTCTTAGTCTGGAAGCTGTTTGTAACCTATCAACCATGGGTGGTGACCCAGATGATATTTGAAACAGTGTTGGCATAGCTTCCAGCATCACAATAACATGCAAGCCACCACAGTATGACAAACTGACAGATGAGTGGTGAATATACATCTCTAGTAAACAGACACATGCCTTCCCAGAAAGCATGGTCCAAACTCAAAGAGCCCTGGTGGCACAGTGGTTAAAGCCTTTGACTGCTAATTGAAAGGTTGGCTGTTCGAACCACCAGCTGCTCTGCAGGAGAAAGATGTCTGCTTCCATCAAGACTGATAGCCTTTTTGGGAAGGCTATGAGGCAGTTCTCTGTCCTACAGGGTCACTATGAGTCAGAAATGACTTGATGAAAATGGGGTTTTCTCCAAACTCTTCACATAAACCAATTTCCCTCTATATATCCTGTTTATTCAGATATGACAATATGATAACTCCTTGTACAATTTACATTCTTCCTGAGACTATCTCCTAGTCCCTTTAATTAGATTTCAGCAAGACTTCCTGCCTTGAACAGAGTAGATACTATACTAAACTGAAATTCAAGAGCACCATAGTACAGAAAAATTAACTTGATTGGATGTGGGTTCTTTTATATGTCCTTACTGGCTAGCTATGCAACCTCAAGTAAGTTATAATCTTCCTGAAACAAAATTCCTTCACCTCTTAAACAGCAAAAATTGTATCCACATCTCACAAGGCTGTGGTGAGGATTAAGTACCCAACACAGTATCTATTAGGCATACCTCCCTAGGCAATTGGTTAGCCTATCCATTATTCACAGAGGGTAACCACTCCCAGTTCTGCAGGCCATTTATTTAGCCCTGTGTACTAATGACAACTTTACAAACCACTAATAATAATGAAGATATTTTAAACAAGTATTTACTCTTTGTAACACATAAACTCCAAACTAAAGTTTATAAGAATCCTTAAAATTCTAATTTTACTAGCTTCATTTTAGATGTCTAACTCAACCAAGTTCCAAAACTTGCAGCTTTTTTCCCCCCAAAAGTGCCCAAATTCTGTTCCCTTTACCCATGACAAATCTTTACCTTCGTAAGACTGTATTATTGTTATCAGATAATCACTTATAGCCATAGAAGACACTGACCACAATTAAAATTAAGTAGAATTAAGTCATACAAACTCCATAACATGATATCTGACTACAAAATACTTTTAAATATTATTTTAACTTCAAGAATTGCATCTCATTTTTACATTGAGAGGACTGTCTGTGTAACTATTTTGATAAAAAGACAATTTTAATACTTTCATGTCAAACTAGCCCAATGAGCTACTGGCTCTAAAATGATTTTTTATTAACTTTGACAGTGCCTAAGACATCTGACTGCTAACCAGAAGGTTGGTGGTTCAAATCCACCAGCCATTCCCTGGAAGCAAGACTGGGCAATCTACTTCCGTAAAGATTTACTGCCTTGGAAACCCAGGGGGAGTCATTATGAGTTGGAACAGACTTGATGGCAGTGCGTTTGGTTTTTTTCCTGGCTTTATTAACAAATTTATATTACATATACAAGAAGTTTAAGTCTGTTTTCTTAAGTTGGTGAAATATTTACTCAAGTAAATGTACATTTCCCCAGTCAACTAATTTATTTAATCAGGTTCACATTACTAGAATCTAAAGTGAGGTTTTACAGTATTGCTTGAATTCATCTACAGCTTAATGAAAACATCCAAGCAAAATTTAACATATATTTTCAAAATCTGATAGAATAAATGATATCCAAAAAATTCTAGTTTCCATTATAGATGAATAAGTAAAATAACATTTTATAAGTAACTGTCACAGATTAACAAAAACAAACCTTGTCCCATATGAGCTCAGCTCCATCCCCTTTTTCTGCTAAGTGAACTCTCAAAGTTTCAATGCTTTTAGAAAAAAGACTTGCATAGCTCTTTACATCCAGAACCTGTTGGTCTTTCAGACCTAACTGGGGTTCACTTTGTTGATCTGATGCACTCGTTTCTTCACCTAAAGAAGTATTAGAAATCCCACTATTAAATATCATTCTTTTACTGTGTGGTACTGAACAAATTCGATGCCTGACCAATAAATAAAATCAAAGAATACAAAGCAAATTCCAGTAAAATAACTGTTACAAATACCTATACAAGGTTAACTGCTAACATTGAGATGGAAATGGTACAAGAACACCTTACTGGTTTACTAGGGGGGGGGATTCAAGGGCTATAATATACATAAAGTAATTATTATGCCCAGCATATAACACTCTAAGTTGAAGCTGCTACAACTGGTATTTGAGCATGAGGGGCAGATGAGGGGTGCCAGGATACCCACCCCCAGTGGATACAAAAATCTGTGCATATTCAAGTATTTTATATATATACCCTTATAAAATGGTGTAGTATTTGCATATAACCTATGCACAGCTACCCTTATACTTTAAATCTCTAAATTACAGTACCTAATATGGTATAAAAGCTATGTAAACAGCACTTTATGCTCCCTCTTAACATTTGAAGGATTGCTCTTGACCACTTAACTGACGCCCCCAATCAATATTTTCAATTTGTGGTTGGATGATTCATGGGTACAGAAGCCATGTATAAGGAGAGACAACTGTTTAAACCGGTCCATAACATTAAGTATCTCGTATCGTCCAAAACTGCTCCAAACTGAATGGCAATGTACCAAATGTGAGCAACCAATATGTCAGCATTGAGGATGAGAAAGACATAGAAAGGTACACGGGAGGTACAGACAACAAATAGAGAACCCTTACGTACATACAGTACTGCGTTGTCTGTGAAGGCTAACATGGGTATATGGGTGGATACATGGGTGGACAGGCTGAACGATTAGGTATGTCT